CCTACATGAATAAGACTGTCATGATTATCTGTTCAGATGTGCCAACAGGTCAAACTGTCTTCAGAGATGCATTATTCACACTTAAATTATGGAAATATGGACAGAAGCAACTAACAACCACGGAATCTTTCTTAAGCTTGGGAATCACAGTGTCGTGTTCCCTTTCATTGTACAGAAATTTTTGATGTTGTCTTTGCTCATGTTGCTGGACCCATTCCTTTCATTAAGAATCTGATTGTCACATGAGTGGTAGTATCAGCTCTTTAAATGAGTAACTATTTTTTTTCACAATCAATTCCAAATCTCCAATTATCACTATGGCTAGCCTCACAGGTAGTCACTCTATTAACCAAAATTATCACCTGAATATGATTACTTACACATTAGTCATAAGTATAAAGTATCAGATATAGCAGGAGAGTCCAAAAATATAAGGTAACTACAAATAAAATTAATGCACTATGGATTTTAAGTAGTTAGCAAGATTTTAATTGTGTAAATGATAAGTGTTTGAAGAAATGGCGATGTATAATATGAAGAAATTTATATATCTATGTCAGTTTAAACTTAGAACAAGTAGTTCAGTCTTTATTTTACATTGCCTCCTACTACTCCAAAACTCTTTTCTGTAACTTCCAGTCTCCATTTATAGTCATATCTAAGACATGTCTAATATACAATGTATTTTATTTATGTATCATATTGTCTCTATTTCTTATGAAATTCAGTACTTCTTATTTTGTTTTGTTCAATATCCAATGATTAAAGTAATATTTGACACAGTGAATGATTAGAATTAATAAAATATTTGTTTGAATGACTGAATGGACTCAAAATCTCTAATAGATCCTCTAGTTTTTAAGAAAGAACTGTGCTTAGTTATGTTTTTGAAATATGAAGACATAAATAATTGGCACTTTTGCCTTACAAATATTTAACCAGTATCTAACTAAATATTTCAAATTGCTCTTCATTTCATAACTATGATTTCATAACAATGATTACATTTCAGCGATAGTAAAGCACATTCCAAACTTTTCTCCCTAAAGTTAGCTACCCAGTCTAGTTTAAAATATGCTAATTAGTATTCTGAATGTTTTATATACAGGTATGTGCATATGTGCATGCATACATGTTCTCATATGGGTTAAGTATCCTCCAAAGTCAAGTTCCACATTATTTCAATACAGATCTCTTAGTGAACCTGAAATTAGCTGATTCAGCTAGACTCCTCGGCAATGTGCTGCAGGCTTCTCTCTCCTGCCTCTCAGCACTGGAAGTTACAAAAGAGCTGCTACAACTACAACTAGCTTTTACATAGACATGGGGTATAAATTCAGCTTGTTGTGTTTGTGGAATGAGCATTGTACTAGGAATCATTTCCCTACACAATAACTTATATACCTTAATTTCCTTTGTTAAAATAAGAAAGATTAGTATCGTATTTTTAAGAAACAGCAAGAGGAAACTATATTTCCACTATTTCTTACCAGGATAGATTAAGTTAATACATGTTGTTTCCTTAATGTATTTCATAAAGAAGTCAGGAAATATCTGCCCAGATATTTATAAAAATCTGGGTATGTTTCTATACCATAGACTTGAAAAAATTTGTCACATAATCTTTCAGACCTACATCGTAGGAAGAATGTGATAAATAAGCTTTAAAACATTTTGTATATCTCAAAGTGAAAAAGATCTGGCAATAAGAATGTAGGAGAAGATTCTGGATTTTTTATATGTTAAAATCGCTTTACACTCTTTGTTTTATGACAAAGGAAGAAAATGTTTTATAGAAATAGCAGACTCAAGATATTGAAATGTGTTTTATAAGTGAGATCTGAATTACATCCTGTTTCAGAAACGGGTGTCTGGGAAATACACTGCATTTCACAAGTTTTTAATTGATAAAGATAAGAAGAAATTGTATTCTTTTCAAGTTTCAATTCTTGGGAGATTTCTTCAAACTACGGTGTAAAATAGTCTGTTGCTTGAATAGCTGCTTCAATCATGTTTTTGAAAATCATATCTGCATCCATAAGCACAACGAATCTATTACCCCTAAGTTATAATGTGAGACATCATAAGTCACGTCAAAGGACAAAGTTTGCTAAACGCACTCTGATGGTACCATTAGTGTCCTGCTTTTGAACCCCTAAACAAGTCAGTTCTGTCTCAGCCACCAATTGTATCAGCCAGGAAGGAGTGTGTGGTTAACACATTGCCATAAGTTAATTAGAGAGGAATTAGAGGGAAAGTGAGCAGTTTAGCAACACAAATTTGCCATTCTGCATCGCACCACTGGTTCCTCTCATTTAACATCCAGCCTCCAGCAGCTGGACCTGTTAGTTTCTACAGCATTTAGAGAAAGGTAAAGGATCCCATGATTCTCCCAGGCTGTGTGCCATCTGTGATCAAACCACATTTTCCCCTTGACCTCCTTCAAATAATACCCTCAAGCTGGAGTTTCAATCTAAGGATGATACTGGTTTAGCTTAAATAACTCTGGTTATTAATAATCCTTTCTAAATCATCCAATTTCTACACAAAATCAACTAGGCCATCGGGAAGCTATTTCTTGCTGATGCTTCTAAATTCATGCTTGAGTATGCCTGTGCCTGGGATGAAATGTGCATTTGTGATGTCTATTCAACACAAGTTCTTGATGCAATCTGCCTCTAGATAACTATTTTGGATGAACACCAGCTATTCTTCCAAACTTTCTTATCATAATTTCCTCTCAATGTCAAAGTTTTGTAATTCCTATCTAACAACCATTTACAATTGCTATATGAATGATGGAGCCTTGCTTACTATTTGTAGAAAGTTCAACTAGAAATTTTCTTCAGTAATTTTGCATAGAATAAAGCTGGGAGAAGGAAGGATTTTTTATTTCTATCACTTGAATCCTCTCTTTATTATAGGAATAAAAGCATGTACCACTTAGGTTTACATAGTATTCTCATTACCACATCAAAAATGAGGCCACAAATCCTTTGAAGAACAGTAAACTTATACAGGCACAATCCCACTGTTTTCTTAGGCTGTCATATATAAATGTGACAACACTAATATCCTAACTTTAAACTAGCTTCTTTGCTCTGAACCTCGAAGGCACTGTTTATTATTATTTGGACTAAGTAACAGATTCAATATACACTTTTTATATTAACTCTATTACTTCTCTTACTTTCCCACGTGTCTTAGTGGCTTAGGTTTATTATTATTATTATTATTATTTTTATTATTATTTACTTTTCTTAACTTGCCCAAAATCTCATTGCCAGGAGGAATGGAAAGCAAGTGTGATCTGAGTACATTGTATTAAATTCCCAAAAAGTTAGTAAAAAATGATATGCTTAAAAAAGAAATATTTTGCAAGACTTAAAATATTTTCTATGAATCACATAAGTGCACGTACTGAATTTCAGTTTTTGTAGCTTTCATTAATATTGTTAATGAAGATACTAAAAATGAAATTCATGCATGACATCTTAAAACCCTGTTAATTTCTTCTTGACATCATCAAAATATGGCCTCAGCTTTATTTTCAAATATTGTTTGAAATTTGTTAGCAATTTTAAAGAAACATTTTATTCTAACAATGATTTAATAACAATGAATATTCAGGATGGTTTCTTCAAGTGCCATCCACTTGCCTGCGAATTCCAAGATTTCATTATTTTTTTCTGCAGAGTAGTATTCCATTGTGTAGATATGCCACATACTCTTTATCCATTCTTCAGTTGAGGGGCATCTTGGTTGTTTCCATGTACTTGCTATTACAAATTATGCTGCTATGAACATAGTAACCCAGTCACAAAAAGAGGAACATGGTATGTACTCGCTCATATACGGATTTCAGACCTAGAGGAAAGAATCACCAGCCTATAATTCACACCACCAGAGGAACTAGGTTATAAGGTGTATTCTAAGATATTCATATAAAGTCGCTCACAGAAGTGGGAAAGGACAAGTCCCCCACAACACAGGGGAAGTGGGGGGGGGCGCAGTGAATGGAGAGAGAAGTAGGAGAGAGGGGGAGGAAAGGAAAGCATGTGCAACTAGGAAGATTGAGTCAGGGTAGGAATAGAAGACTAAGGAGAGAATGAGAGAGACAGAGAAAAAGAGAGAGAGAAAGAGAAAGAGAGAGAGAGAGAGAGAGAGAGAGAGAGAGAGAGAGACCTACAATACTGCTGCCAACAATTTGAGCAACTGTGGAAAGGCTACCATAAATGCCCTTCCCTGATAGTGAGTTCAACAACTAACTTATCCACCATCATGAAGCCCTAATCTAGTAACTGTTGGAAACAGAAGCAAACACCCATACCTAAACACTGAGTTGAACTATAATCCAGATGCAGAGGGAGAGGACAAGACCAAGTTACAGAAACACATAGAAACAGCTGACCAGAACAAGGAGGAGATAGCAGGGCCCCCAGATTGATAGCTGGGAATCCAGCATAGGACTTACTCAGGCCCTCCTGAATATGGATCTCAGCCAGAAGGACTGAGCAGTCTAAGGGAACTCAGACAGTGGAACCAGGATGTATTTCTAGTGCAATAAAGGACCTTGCAGACACATCCCACATGGAGGGATACTGCCTTAACCTAGAGACAGGAGAGAATTCCAAGTCTCTACTTCAAATGACTTGATAGATCTATATGACTCCACCTGGATGGCATTGCCCTACATTTGGAATTGGGGTGGGGGGATGGGAGGGGAGGGTGGTCATGGTGCATGTGAGGGGGCAGAGAGGGTAAGAGGAAGGGAGTGAAGGCGGGAGAGGGAACTTGGATCAACACGTAAAATTAAAAAAAAAAAAAAAGTAGTATTTTACAACCTTCACCTGGTTTCTGTCAAAAAGACAGTGGTGACATCTATTAGACACTGTCAGTAGTTCCTGGAAATTCAAAGAAATTAAAGCATCTCACCCTCAAAAAATCAATCAATAAATAAATAAATAATAAAAATTATCAATCTCTCTTTAATTATCTAGACATCCCAATGGGACCCAGAACAATACCACAATGTGGCCTGTCTTCACAAGTACTGAACAAAAATACCTAGCCTTGAACACAGAAAAATCAAGAATAAATTCTAAACTTCGTGCTCCACAATGCCAATTTTGGAATCTATTTTTTCCTAAAGTTGTGGAAATGACAGGTATGTGCTTCTTCCATTTGCTTATTTAATTTATTGTGGGTTGTGAAAAATTAAGGAAAACTGGACTATTCAATTTTGAGATACTCTTTACTTGATCTTTGCTCAAATGCTGTGTTTTAGGTGATAGTTTCTCAACAGAAAGAGGGAAACAAAATGCTACATTTGCATTGGTTGGGAAGAGGGAAGGTTGTGAGAGGAGATTAACGATATAATCTTTGGTCACAATATAGTATATGAATATGAATAAAATATTTTCAAAAATTAAAGATTTATAACCTGTGTAGTGCTTACTATGCAAACATGGGAACTTGTATTTTGTTTCTAGCACCACATAACACCTGGGCTGTGGTAATGGTGTATCTGTAATAGCAGTTCTCTGAATCCAAGAGAGAACATCTTTGGAACAAATTCAGCTAGTCTAAACTAGTAGATTAGAGTCAGTCACCTCCAGGTCTAGTGGGAGAACCTAACTCAAAGAGTACAGTGTTTTCTCACATTAAACCATACCCATAACACAAAGAAAAAACTATGTATACTTTCTCAAATGAAGTTAAAATTAAATGTGAAGGAGTTATTGACTTAGTTATCTAAGTATAATCACTAATTTTAGTCTTTGAAAGTATTTAGTATTTATATTTCCAAAATGCTTTATTAACTAGGTATATTTGTCAGCCTAGATCATTAATTGTCTCCAGAAATTATAATTATGTTTTTACTTTTTTTATTACTACATATCAAAGAGAATGCTATAGAGTACCATTCTAGTTCTGTAGTGTATATTCTTTATGAATGCTAAGTTTAATATTTTCGTGATTTTGCACTCATTTTATAGACATTATTTTGTTTTAAACTTAATTTACTGTTCTTGTGTAGCTACAGAACATTAATTAATTAAAAAATGAAGATAACATTGTCAATTTTAATTTTAAACTATTCAGTTTTATTTGGCCACCTAAATATGTTTTTTGGTGAGAATTAATTTGAAAATGTGTAGAATTGTAACTTAATAATCATGTAATATAAATAAATATCTTAAATGATTTGTGTATAATAGAAAAGAGGACACCTTTTATTAATTAAAAACAGTGATTTTAGCTAGCCATCACATGGCAGGCCATGTCTACAAATTGCATTGTCAAAGTAAGTGTTAGATATGAAAAAGTAATGCACATTGTTGAATTCTTTTTCAGAGAATTTGGGTTAGTTTAAAAAATTTAAACATCTCAGAGATATGTTAGGATATTTAATATGCTCTTTGATTATCAGACATTGATTATCACACTTATAATTGTGTACTTCATCTATTAATGATATATCTGTGCTCTGAGTGTGACTAAATGTTCTGTGACATAATATATATCCAGAGATGAGTTTCTGTGTCCCTTGGCTGAGCAACAGTGCTGTCCTTGTGTTCCCCGGGTGTGAGTAACAATGAGGTAACTCACTTAATCTGCCAAGAAACCCAAACAGATTGAACATACCACAATCCACATATTCTAATCTCTACAAAAGATTAGTTTAAATACGAAGGTTGCATTCTATGTTGAAAAAAATTAATGAGAGAGCGAGGATATAAATTTAAGTGATATGGTTATTAAAAGGCAGTACAGTTATTATTTAAACACAAGGAATCCATGGTAATTTACTTACTAATGTGCCATAATTGGAGTACCAACAATTTGGAAAGTAGGATGCAAAAAATGTCTATGTGAAAAACTTTCTTTTCAACTGAGGCTGTTTCCAAAAGCAGAAAGCATCTCTACAATTTAAGCAAAACTGTGCAACACATCTTAATTTGCCTTAGGATAGATTTAGTACATCTTGAAATATAATTTTTTACTTAAGTTTTATATTTCTAATGCATTCTGAATATCACTAAAAATGTCTTCAGGTTAAATATATATATTTTTGAGGCTGAAAAGAAGAGTCATTGGGTAAAATACTCGCTGCAAAAGCAGGGAGACCTGAGTTTGGATTCTCTGCCTTAACTGCCTCATGCTCCCAAAAGAAGTAAATAAAATTAATTTTGAATAATAGAAACAAACTAAGAAATAAGGGAAGACAAAGTTGGAGGACTGAAAAGCTGAGGATGATAACTTCCACCCTATCACTGAGCAATGGGGTCAGAGACAAGTAGATTGAGATGGGGGATTCTTTGGGCATTGAGCTTAACAGAAACTGAAACAACAACCTCATATTTGAATGAGTGGTTTTGTGTCATATATGTGTGTGTGTGTGTGTGTGTGTGTGTGTGTGTGTGTGGCTGTATGTTTGTATTTATTTATATAAAGGAAGTGATTGAAGGTTTTAAGAAGGCACCCCCACATCAATCTATATATGACATATGACATATGACCTTCCTCTGTTCATACTCAATTAATGAGGCATAGAAATGTATCCACTCATATTTACCTATACATAGAGAGACAGAGAGTCAGAGATGCAGACAGAGAGACATACAGAGACAGAGAAATTAACAGTGAATCTGCACACATATTTTGAAGTTTAAGTAACACAAATTACATCATTTTGGAATAATGTATTAATTTAAAATTGTCAGATTTAGCCAAGTTTGAGGTTACAATATTGGAGTTCTATAAATAGGTAATGTTTGGATGATTTTGTATGTAAGATCATATTCAAGCCATACTTCATATTTTTCAGGTGTTAAAATTTGTAAAGGTTTGGGCTGAATTTAATTTTTTCAAAGTTAGATCTACAAACCAAAGTAAATTTCTCAGAATTACTACTGACAGCCTTTCTTGAAATAAGAAATACTTACTTTATATCACATGGAAAGTCATTAAACCTTTCTAAGTACCACTTCAGCCCTAGTTTACATTAGAGCAATAAATGTTCTCAAATTCAGTGATTCTTAACACTTGTTTAAACACATAGAATCCAGCACTTCACTTCTAGTCTATTCTCAGTCTATGCCTGGCCATTATTGGATGCATGTGCAAGAAATAAAATGTTCAGTGTTTGTATCAAAATTTTCAGGTTCATATTTTTCCTGAGAATATTATAGTACCCCATACCTATTTTTAAAAGGAGACAGAAATTATGCTTTCCTTGTTATCAATGACAGAAATAGTCTCTTATTAAAAATATAAGATAATATTTAAAAGAAAAATACATTATCTCACTAGGGAAACACATTAGATACAGTGATTTCTTGACTAATGATTGACTAGCCATGGAGCATGTTCCTTTGCCCATATACATTTAAATGCACTAGAGGTCTGTGGAAAAGATGAACTGTTTAGTGTTTTGATTCCCTAAACCCATGTAAGTATAACTACAGTACAGGAAGGTGGAGGCAGGGGATCCCCAGAACAGGCGGGAGAGCTACACTGGTGGTTTGAAAAATATCACACACACACACACACACACACACACGTATGAAAATGGAAGAAAAACCCTAAATAGCTCAATCTTTAACTTAGTTGATAGTTCCAATTTAGTAAGACTAACAACTAAAGATTAGACCATGGAAAGGTGATGCAGAAAAAAAAAATACCACAATAGTTTCATTATCAAAATTTGTATTTATTATCATTAACAAAAATAAGTAAACAAAAGTTTACTTCATGATTAACCTTTATCATGATTAACTTCCTACCATAGTAATTTTCACAATGCCCAACCCCATTCTCATAGGACTCACTCTGGCATCTCATTCAACACCCAAATTATGACAGAAAAACATAATTCTTACAGCTACCACATAAAGAATTATCTATTATTTTAATACTGTCTGTAACTTTTTAAACTTAGGGAAGGCAGCAATAGGCTTGGTAGCCTTTCAGTGAGCCTCTGTTGAATTCATGGACTGCTGTTTTTAAGCAGCAAAGGCATTGTCTGTCAACTTGAATTCCTCTGCTTTGTTTCTACTAGAAATTTGGGACAGTTCACCCATTTTTCATTCCCGACAGTAGGCTGAATATTTGGATACTGAACTCATGTATTGAAATCCTAATTCTATGGGTGATGGAACTAGAAGAGGGCTCCTTCAGAACTCATGAGATTGGGAGCATGGATCCTTCATCTGTGGGATTAGTGAGTGTTCTTATTAAACACAATAAACAAAATAAAAAAATAAAAGCCTGACATAATTTCTCAGTTTCTATATGTATGAGAACACAATGATGAGACTGTGACTTATGACTAGGAACAAAATCCTCAGCAAAGCTCTTGTGAACAAAGCTTTGGTTTTTCCCTCAGAAATACAGGATATAAGTTTCAATTGTATTAGAGTACTATATCCCAAGGGACACAAAACACTAACCCTTTCCTTTGTCTAAACAAAAGAATTTCAGTTTTGTTTTAGATTTCCTCATTCTGCTTCTTTTTTTGTTTGTTTTGTTTTTGTTTTTTTTTTCTTATTTTGCATATCAATCCCCATTCCCCCACCCATCCCTCCTCCCTCTAGTGGCACCAACCACCCTCCCATCCCATCCCATCCCCTCCCCACTCCCCAGGGAGGGTGATGCCTTCCAGTAGGGATCAACAAAATCTGTCAAGTCATTTGAAGAAGGGACTAGGCCCTTCAGCTTCTCTCTAGTTTAAGGGAGTATCCCTCCATGGTTTCTTTTTTAAGACAAAGAGGACTGTTCCCCTTCATAGAAAAGAGAACCTGGTACTTTCAGATGAGACAAAAATGTGGGAAGAAACAACGATAATGAAAAGTAAATTGAAAAAAAGTTGATTTCCATACAGCTTCCCATGAATACCTGCTTCTGCTTCTCTTTTTCCACCCACCCCCTCTGTGAAACATCAAATAAATAAAAAACATTATTCATTTATATCTTCCAACCCATCCACAGGCCCCAAGTACACCAATAAAGCAAGATGTTCCTGTTCTATATCTAGAAAAATATTTGTGTTATTTGAAGCAAATTAAAATTAGATAAATCACTCAGAAAACAAAATTCTATAATAATTAAATTAAGGGCTAGAGAGTGGACCCAGCAGGTGAGAGTATGCTATTCTTGCAAAGGACCCTATGTAGATTCCATCACCTGTGTTGGAAAATTCACAGTTGCCTGGTACTCCTGATCCAAGAGACTGGATACTGGCTTCTGTTTGCTACTTGTACTCCAGTCACAGCACAAAGACCTACAATCAATGTACATAATTTTTAAAAAATTAAAACACATTTATAAATAAATGCATAGATAAATGTTTTAGTATTAGGTAGCAAATTAATAGGTTAAGTATCAAGGTACATAAACAATTAAGCTGATTTATATTTATACATGTAAATTCACATTATATATATTTATGTCCTATTAGTATACCTCAAAAATTAATATGGAAATTGTTAACTTATTTATAAAGAACTTTTCTGGTTTTAAGAAATGATCAGGTCAAAACTATCACTTAATTTGAATTTATTTATGCAAATTCTATGATAACTTCAAGTTTTCTTTGCTTTTTTAATGCTATTATTAGGCATCTAATGTCTAGAAAATAAATATGGAATTATTTGTTGTCGTATTGCATAAGAACAGTTTTAACTTCATTGAATTTAATTTTGGTCATTCATTTCTAATTAGAATTTATGAGTAATTTTTTTCCAGTTTAGTATAAAATGTTTTTATGTACATTTGAAGATATCAATATTGTTCAATTGTATATTGGTATGATTAATTCCAGTGTAGCACTCTTTTCAGAGTATCACCTAACATTCTTGCTAAAAAACAGAACAGGATGCTTTATTTGGTGGGTATCTGGGTGGCATCTAGCAGAACATAAATACTTGTATATAACATTTAATGAAAAAAGAGGCCATGAATTTGAAAACTAGCAAGGAAAAGCTTTTGTGAGTATTTGGAGAAAGGGAAGGGAAGGGTGAAATTGTGTGTTTTCATTATAACCTTAAAAATAAAAATAATTTTCAAGAAGATAGTGGATTTAAAAACATTGACTAATACAAAATATACATTTTTATATTCAAAACAAAAAAATCACATGATCAATTATGCATAAAATGTTAAAAGTTGGAAAGAGATAAATTTCTAAATAAGTAGTATGTTTAAGTAGATTACTATTTCTACATGGTTTGCATTTAACAAATTGTTGCACAATTTTGATTAGTATAACTGGATAGAAATATGATTTCCCTTCTTTTCATTTTACTCTGTTAATATGATAACTGTTTACAGAGAGTGTGCTCTGTTCTAGTAACCTAGGAAGGGACTGTGCTCTCCATAAAGCCCCTCATAAGAATGATGCAAGCTCACTCACAGTGAATTGGCAGAGGCACAGTCCAGGATCATGAAAAGCTATTAAAAGAAGACACCTGCACTGAATCTTAATAGGAAGGCATCCTGGAGAGAGGAGCCTGATAACCATAGACACAGGACAAAGTGTCCTATACAACATGCTAAGGAATTTAAATTCTAACTTAAGCACAGCTGCTTAGTAATTTCAAGTGGAGGTCTGACAGGTCCTGGTAGTTGATTCCTGGGTGTATTAGATTTCACTGCATGCAAGGTTCCCCTGTAGCTGCATTATGACACATCCCCACAGTCTCTCCAATACTCAGGCTGTGCTGCTTCTGTTTGCTGGTTCCTATCAACAACATGCCAACTTTGCTATTTTCATTTTATTTGTACTTTATGTTTCATTTACACTCAATTTTAAACTGTATTTCAAACACATTTTTCTTTAGTATAAAAATATTTAATGTTAAATTTGCCTCTGATTGGCATTTGGCATTTTGCTATTCAAGAAATAATACAGATGCCTAAAATTCTGCATTTGATGTTTCCACTTAATATCACTTATTCAATGTGATCTTTCCTGGAAAAAAAAAAAACATGAGTACTGTTAATTTTATGGATATTGATGACTTTTATCTTATTCGTAGTGAACTGTTGCAAAGTTCTTGTCCCTAATTAGTTCTATGGTTGTTACTCACATCTGTAAGATTTTTTTCCCTTTAATATGTTGCATATTCATGTAAGTTTTTTTTTTTACTTTTCTGCATTTCTTTACTTTATGTATATTATTGAAAGTGACAAACTGAAGAGAATGAGGGAGTATGCTTTGTTTCACCGTGCTTCATGTCACAAAAGAAACAAGTTTATTTTCCCACATATACTTTATTTAGTGAACATTATAGGGCATGAGTAGAGGATCCTTACAAATACTCTACACAAAACTCTAGGGAAGGCTCTTCAATAGACTTAACTTCTTTACAAAAAGTAGTTATTCTATATATTATATTATGATGCTCTTTCTCAACACAATGTCCATATCATATAGTATGGCCACCTTAACAAAAAATGAGGAAAATTGTGTTATTATTTATAATTATATCTCTAAGTTAGAATATTTTCTAAAAATAAATGTAAGACATACATAGATAAATTTTTATTGAAGAAAATCAATATTTAATGATACTTACCAATATTTATTATAAATTTAAGAACAACCTCCTACTTTCTTTTTTTACTTTTCTAAATGGTCACAATTTATAGTGCTAGCCATTCCATCTTTCATTTTTTCCCTTTCACACTAATAAATTTATACTTGTAGAATAATGATTAATGGTGTAATCATCAGATGAATCTCACACGCTACTTAAAGGCCAATATTTTCTTATCTACCTTTTTGTTTTACAAAAGAAATATTAAGTTGCCTTCTCATGGTCAACAGAGTAAACAATTGAGCATCATATGGAATGAAAGTATATTTTAGTGATTATAAAAATCTGAATGGAGTGATAACTACAATATTCTCTTTATAGATTAGCAGATATTTACATATAAGCACTTTGACTAAGAATAATATCCCAATGCCTTTCTGTATGTACATTTAGTATTATGAAGTTTTTGTAATCCTTAAAGAGGTCATTAATAAAAGTAGTAAGAGAAGTTGATAATAAATAATGAAAAATAAAACCCTGATATACCATATAATTGAAGAAAATATCATCTATAATTAGAATTATTTTTCAGGACATGTAAACACAGATTAAACTTTAGATTAATGCAATGTATTACATGTTTTACAGGAAATATTGATGAAACAGAACAGAAGTGGAAAGCAGGATTCCATCGTTGGAGCAATTACATGATGGACTGGAAAAATCAATTTAACGATTATACTAGCAAGAAAGAGAGTTGTATGGGTCTCTAATTAATAGATTTACCCTTTATAGAACGTTCGTTTTCCTGTAGATGAAGGCAAAATACCAGTAGCTCTTTCCACATAAACCAAGAGTGCTATTATACAGCAGAGAGAGAAATGCCAGAGGACAATATCGATTCCTCACATCTTTCACTTTGTATTTTACCTAATGTTTCAGAACCGAATCACTAGAAGTTGTTTTATTAATTCACAGAATATGAACTTTGAGAATTAATTATGTGTATATTAATACAATGTGCTGCTCTGATCTTATTATCCTGAATAACTTTACAGTTTTTACTAACTGTTACATACTATGGTTTTATTCACTCCCATATATTCAGAACCACATATATAAAAGTACTTTGAAAAACTGAATGGGATTTTGAAACACTGGATGTCATATTTTATACAGTGTTTCCTACAATTTATTTATAAAACTACTGTTAATATGAAATACTAAAACAACAAAATAATTGCTACTAATATAAAAAGAGGCAAGAAAGAATAAGAAAAATAAGAGCCATAGTGTCTGGGAAAGATTATAGTGAAATAAAATATGACTATCACGCATAAGAAAACATGCTTCAGGCATCATCCTGAATATAACTTTTCACATGAAACAGTCCCGTCCAATAATTCCATAGCCAAAGAAACCATGGGATTTCTAAGAGAAAATCCTTTGCCTTCACACTGTGGTGTATGTGTGTGTGCGCATGTGTGTGTGTGGGGAGGGGGAGAGACAGCAGAAATCCATGTATAGGAACTCTTGCATATTGCACTTTGTACAGATTCACAGGTGAAACAAATGTTTGATTTAAATTAATCACAAGTTGAAGGTATGTAAATCTAAATTACATATCACATTAGTCTCTGTAGGGTTAATACATGAAGAACTATTTCTATATCATTAAACAAAACCATAGAGCTGTTGCCTATTTTAGACAGATTTTTTTTATTTATGTCTCAAAATATGACAAGGAATTATGTCTTACATTATAAAAGAGTAAGTATAGATAATCCAGGCAGTTTAGAACATTATTTTTATCAATTACTTATATACTGCAAAATGCTGTTTTTAGTGGATTAATGGTCAAATATGGAGATACAAGAACTAAAGCAATAAATATTTTTTCTTTAAAAATACACTTGTTTTATTTTCTGATTTTTGAAAAATAATACGCCAATGGCTATAATGACAGGATAATTTTAAAAATGTATAGCAATTAATTTTTGTCAATATGATAATATACTTGATAATTATTAATATAATTTTAATTATGACACAGTTAGTCAAATGCCTAATAAATAGGACAATCTACACATTCCTGAGGAAGAAAAAAATCAACAGTGAAATTTCATTGCATGATTGTCAAAACTATACTCAACAGGACTAATTCTCCTTGCAAAATTGTTTGAAAAGAAAGATTTGTAGGATGAAAAGGGCTTTGCCTAAATATACTGAATGTAACATATTAATTATCATCCTTTCACACTGCCAAACAAAAAAGAAAAGTTCATTAGGAGACAAAGTGCATATGTACTAGGGGTCTTTACAGAAACAGAATAGACAGAATGAATGCATATAATGGAAAGGAATTTATATGAGTGGCTTAGGGCATATATATTAGTAGTTAAATAATGGCTGTCTCACAATGGAGAGGCCTAGAATATGAATATTGTTCAATATACAAAATTGGAAGTCTCAGTTTTTGTAATTAGGCTCTAGAAGCCTGGAAAATCCTACAAAACTTCTGGTCTTGAGTCAACCTTGATATCTCAAAGTAGATTCTAGTAAATATTAGTGAAGAAAAGTCAGATCAGCAGGATAGAAAAATTTACCTTCAAGTATTAGGCCAGTTGGTAAAATATAAAATGTCTTTCCATGTCCTTTGATCTATGCTACCACCATAACATGCATCACACATTTAAGATGGTCTTCCTGTTTCAAATTACCTGATTGAGAAAAATCACTCACAGAAGCTTCCTGATGCTTTCAAATCAGCTGACTCCTGATACCATAAATTTGAGATGAGTATTAATCATTACCAATACACCCCTTGTCTACATGGCATATAGATGCATTACCTTTAGTTTGCTCATTTCCAAATAAACCAATAATCATGTCATAATTAACATTCTAATACCATCCCATGCACAACTGTAAATGTATTATCTATTTTAGAATAGTTAGCTAAGTCCCTTGAAGAATGCTTAGACATTTAGTGTCTTTAAATTTAAATAAAATAATACATATTTACAACACTTAACCGATGGCATTATCTCAATAAAGGTTACAGGGCATGATAAAGAAATAGAGGAAAGAAAGCACAAATATCTGTGTACACAAGATAATAAGACAGGAACTCATATCAATTACAATCATTTCTGAAACTGATCCTGGTCAGTATTTATGACTACATTTCTGTGCTAGCCATTTTATAATTTCCTCCACCATTAGCAAGGAGCCTACTTTTGTGGGTTTCCTGGGATCTATTTCAATTAAAAATCAGTATTCAATAGACCATGCAAATCTGATTGTATTTTTCCTCAAGCATAGTTATTCTAATAAAAAGCCATAGGTTTTTCTGGAAAAGGACAGGACAAAAGCTAATAATAAAACTCTTCAGTATGTTAAACTAATCGTAACTCAGGGGGTCCTGTATGGCCTTCCCTCACCTTCATAGAATTCTTGATCTACTAACTTGCTCAAATCTGAAAATTGGCAGGCAGGGAGAGATTCCTTACTTCAACAATCCGATTTATCCTTTTTGCCTTTTTTTTTTTTTTTTTTTTAGAGATTTTTCTCCTTCTATAGATGAAACAAACACTTAACAGGATTCCATATATTTTTTCTTTAGTAATACCATGTTTCATTACTATGTGTACCTATGTGTCAGAACTTTACATACATTGCTTTGTCTGTGCTGCCCATTCAAGTACCTATGCTTTGTCTTGCCTTTGACAGTTCAGTGATGTAACTTGACCTCTGCATCACAGGGGCCCAATTAAACCCATTACAAATAGTTTATCCACTGAACAGCAGTGTTTTCCATCCTAAAATCTGACACAAGGAAAAGGGTATATATTCCTGGCTCTCACAATGTGAGATTAGAGGGATTAGAGTTTACACAGTTTATCTACTCCAGTATTGTAAATCTTTGAGTTTAAAAATCCCATCATCAACAATATGCCAAAATAAAGCAGGTATGTCCAATACCATCTATGTAGAATATCATTTGAGAAATACAACAGCCTGTCTACCATATAAACCTTTGGTATTCTTTTTTTTTTTTTTTTTTTTTTTTTTTTAACTGCGAAAGCTTCCATATTAAACCTGAAATCAGCACTCACTGGGTCAATATCAGTAATCTCACCCTGATCCAGTTTTATGTTCCTTCCACCACTATCCCACACCATTCAGATCCATTCCCATGGATATTCCCTGGACCTATATTTGAATGAATTAGAAAGCTCATTTAATTCTTTAATAATATAGAGCACCTCATAGACATCATTCCTAGAGGCCTGCTAAGTCTCCTTAAAGGTCTACAGACTACACTTAGTATGCACCAATGTACATCTGTGTTGTCTTTCCTAGTATTTCCTTTAGGGAAAGTAATTTTGAGTGAAGTAAACAATATTGGGTCAATTTTCTCAGGCAACGATGGAAAGAACAATACTGGGAGGGATATGTTTGAGATGCACACTCTGCTACAAATGGGGAGACTACCTTTTCTGGTAAGAAAATATAGTTATTTGAATGAGAATGCTCTGCCCCTTTCCCAGGCTCAGATGTTTGAAAACTTGATCCTCAATTGTTGTTTGGGAGGTTTAAGAAGTATAACCTTGCTGGAGGAAGTGTGTCATTGTGGATAGGCTTTGAGATTATATAGCCTCATAATATTTCTTGTTCAACCTTTCTTCTTTGTGCTTGTGTTTAAAGATGTAAACTCTCAATATCTTGTTACAGACACCATGTTTGCTACTTGATACCATGTTTCTAACTGGGTACTGGTATGCCTCTCAAAACATAAGCTCTAATAAATGCGTCCTTCTACAAGTTCCCTTGGTCACGGTACTTTCTTTTCTTATTTATTTATTTATTTATTTATTTATTTATTTATTTATTTATTCATTCATTTATTTATTTATTTCAGTTTTTTGAGATAAGGTTTCTCTGTATTGCTGTGGAACCTGTCCTAAAACACTCACTGTAGACCAGGCTGGCCTACCTATGCCTCCCAAGTGCTCAGATTAAAGGCATGCACCATCAATGCATGGCAATCATGGTACTTTATTACAGCAAAGGAAAAGTACTGTGTCATTCATTGATACAAAGATTTTCTTAATTTCCATCATTGAAGTAAAACAAAGATATTTACAAAATGTCTACATATGGTAGAAAATAGAAAGTGAGATAAAGAATATGGAGATCATATGGTAATCATCTAAGTAAGCATTGTAATTAATGTAAATGATGTAGTATATTTTATAAATGGAATATATATTCATTATATATTCATATAGTTATAAAATAGAAATTTACTTACCTCTTCTGATATATGTTACATTAGAACCAGATATGGCAATAGTAGTAGTGTGATGTGTCATCAACACATGTTAATGCTATTGAGTGTTTTATTCATAAATTAATTGAGGAAAAATTGTTTCAAAACTTCTGCTGACCTCATACAGAATTGTTCACATTTTCTCTTAACTGTTTCTCAGTTTTGCCACTCTGCAAATATTGTCTTTCTCAAGGTCATGGAAATCATGACTCTGAAATGGAGTGTTCCCATCTCCGCATCCAAAAATGAACAAGCCAAAATTAAACTTTGAAAATCTCACATTACCTTAGTAGATTATATAATTTTGAAAATAACCACCCTTGGCATTGCACATCCTTTGGGTCAACTTTTTTCTTCTCGTATTTTAGGCACTTACCCCACCCAATGTTTATAGATAAAAAGCGTTTTTTCAGTCTTAATACCAATATTTTAGTGGTGTGAGATACATAAATATAAAACATAGAGCTTTGAAAATATTTTATTAATATATAAAACTAAAACAATGACTAAATATAGTTTTGGCTAACTGCAAATAGAGATTTGTAGTTGGGCAAGATGTGTATGATAAATTAAATGACTTGTCGGTCAGATAATGGTTAATTCAGGTACTAATTTTTTTTTTAATATGTTTTTCTTTTTTTTTTATTTTTTTTTTTTTTTTTTTTTTATAATATAATTTAATAAAAAAAAACAATTTTTTATTCTTTTTTTTTGGGTTTCCCCCCCCTCCCCCCCCCCTCCCCCCCCCGCGGGGGGGGCCCCCCCCCGGGGGGGTCAAGAAAAATTCCAAATTCCCTGGCTTTTGCTGGGGGGCCTTTTTCCCCCGCTTTTTGGGATTGAAGGTCCCCCTCTCCCCCCTTTCAGGCGGCCCGGGGGGACCAAACCACATTAGTCTGGGAGGAATCCACATCTTTTCATTTTCTGTGGAAACAAAAATAGAAATACTTTTCCCCAGTAACTTGTTCTTCAACTTATATTTTGGAGTCAAAGCGTTTTTTTTTTTTTTTTAATTTATTATTTTACATGTCGATCCCAGTTCCCTCTCCCTCCCTCCCTCCCTCCCCCCAAGCCCTCCCTCCCTCCTTCCCTCCCTTTTGCCCTCTCTACCCTCTCCCATGCACTCTAAACACCCTCCCCTCCCAACCCCCCACCACAATACAATATGTAGGGGAATGCCATCCAGTTGGGGTCATGTAGATCTGACAGGTCCTGTGAAGTAGGGACTAGGGCTTCTCTCCTATCTCTAGAATAAGGCAGTTATCCCTCCATGGGGGATATGTTTGCAAAGTCCTTTTGTGCACCAGGGATACATCCTGGCTCCACTGTCTGAGGTCTCTTAGACTGCTCAGACCTTCTGGCTGAGACCCATATTCAGGGGGGTCCGAGTTAATCCCCTGTTGGCTTCCCAGCTATCAGTCTAGTGGCCCTTAGCTCCTCCTTGTTCAGGTAAGCTGTCTCTATGTACTTCTATTGCATGGTCTTGTCCTCTCCATCTGCTTCTGGGTTCTAGTTTGACTCAGTGTTTATGTATGGGTGTTTGCTCCTGTTTTCAACAGGCATTAGTTGAGGAATCCATGGAGAAGTTAGTAGTTGATCTCACTCTCCGGGAAGGGCATTTAT